ATTGGGCTGAGCAACCTTAAACTGCAGTCGTCGGGCATGCATGCATCTGACCATATTCTGCACACGAGTTTATGCATGCACCTTATCAACTCCTCGCCGCCGTACTTGAATAGCTCAGCTGGCAGGCTGTCAGCTCCAGCGGCTTTGTTGTTTTTCAGCCGCGTTATTGCTATACGTNATCAGCTCCTCGCCGCCGTACTTGAATAGCTCGGCTGGCAGGCCGTCAGCTCCAGCAGCTTTGTTGTTTTTCAGCCGCGTAATCGCTATTCGTACCTCGGCATAGTCAGGCGGTGGGACAGCTACTCCTTCATCATCGACTGGGGCTCGGGTTCGTCTTCGTCACTACTTTCAGCGCTGCTGCTATTCAGTAGGTTGTAAAAGTGTCCCCTCCACAATTTAAGTACGCTCTGGACATCGGTCACTAGGTCGCCATTGTTGTTCTTACAGGAGTACGCCCTGGTCTTTAAACGTTCCGTAAGTCGCCTAACTCTTTGGTAAATTTTCGGGCATTCTTCCTGTCGGCCAGCATTTCAAGCTCTTCGCACTCACGTATTTCNCACAATTTAAGTACGCTCTGGACATCGGTCACTAGGTCGCCATTGTTGTTCTTACAGGAGTACGCCCTGGTCTTTAAACGTTCCGTAAGTCGCCTAACTCTTTGGTAAATTTTCGGGCATTCTTCCTGTCGGCCAGCATTTCAAGCTCTTCGCACTCACCTATTTCGGCCTCTCTCTTATTGCGGAAAATACATCTCACTTCCCTCGCTTCAATTCCCTATAGCGGTCCCACATGGCTAGCGTTGCACCCGATCTCAGCGTGGCCCGGTATCTTTTTTCTCTACAGCTTCCTGACACTCCTCGTACCAGTTGTTCTTTCGGGCTCGCTGAAATCCGACTACTTCTTCAGCGACGGTACTTAGTGAGAGGTAAATGTGGTTCCATTGCTCGCATATGTCGGTTTGTTGAAGAGTGCTCTCTGAGAGCAGGTGCGAGAGTCGAGCAGCTAAAGCACTGGCTGTCTGTTGTGATTGCAGTTTTTCCACGTTACGCTTTCCTTGCATATTTGGGCGCACATTTTTTAATGCACAGGGGCGGGTGCGTATCTTGGTTGCAACAAGATAGTGGTCCAAGTCGATGTTTGGGCCTCAGAGTGTGCGTACGTCTAAAACACTGCAAGCGTGCCTTCCGTCAATCACAACATGATCGATTTGGTTTCTCGTTTTTCGAACCGGAGACAGCCACGTAGCTTGATGGATATTTTTATGCTTAAACCTAGAACTGCACACTACCGTGTTGCGGGCCCCGGCGACGTCGATCAGCCTCAATCGGTTGTCGGACGTTTCGTCGTGGAGGCTGAATTTTCGGACCATGGTTCCAAAGATCCCTTCCTTGCCCACCCTGACATTGAAGTCGCCAAGCACGATTTTGATATCATGACGGTGCAGTGCTCTTACGTGCGCTCCAAGCGCTCATAGAAGAGATCCTTGGATGCCTCAACCCTCCCTTCCGTCGTTGCATGGGCGCAGATGAGCGAGATGTTGAAGAATCTCGCTTTGATGCGGATTGTGGCTAGACGCTCCTCCACCGGGATGGTGTCTCTCTCCCACCACAAATCCAACTCCGAATTCGCGCTCATGGCAGCTGTAGTAGACGTCGCAAGGCCCAAGACATTGTCTGCCTTGCCACGTCCAACGCATTTCCTGGATGATCTCCCGAGGCTTTGCCTTGCTTCTTCACTGGAAGTGGTTTTTACGTTGCGGTCCCAAACCCAGCGCACAACCCATTGCTGGGGCGGGGATGGTTTCGCAACCAAATACACGTTTATATAGCGAGCCGCTTGCTCCAAGCAGACACCCGCTTACAGCCGCACCTACTGGTGAACAGACGCTGAAGACTTCAGTGAGTCCATAAACCGAATAAGTCGGAGTGGCCCCACCGAAGCTCCCTCTCTTTCTGACGTGACCCAAAGCTCCATTCGGATTGGTTACCGCATCTTGCACATGTGTTGCTCACGTTGCCCAGGGTACGCGAACGAGGACGAAGAGTCGGGATTGAGTATAGCCATGCAACTGTAACTGCATATCCAGCGCAACGACTATACCCCATTGCACTCTCTTCTTACAAATATTCAGATAACTAACATGAAAGTCTTAAAAATAGTGTTATCTCAATAAATATCCTCTTCCAGTAAAAGCAATGCGAATCTGACATATTCTAATGAATTTTAAACAAACAGTTTTTAATATTTTACGAATTCCTTTTCAAATGATGGGCTTCCTGCAACTACTTACTTACATGCGTATGTAGTTAACTGCTTGCCTGCATACTAACAAATGCAAGTTTACGTTACGCAGACGCATAAAAGCCTCGAAGAACGAGTAGCAAACATGTAAGGAAGACATTAATTTATACCACAATGAAGACAAAAAAAAAACAATTCTGGTAACAATGAAAAATTGCAAAGATAACAACGATGGGGCACTTAAGCTAACAAATGGTAGAACTACTTCATTCGAATTTCTTTAGACAAAAGGCATTAAAACAAATTGAAAGCTGTAAGAAATACTGCTCGCACTATTTTTTACAGACATACATATAGCACATACAAACATATGAAGAAGGAAGACCATGTACATAAAGTACATAAAAGTCTGAGATATATTTCTGAGAAAATTTTAAATTTAAAGGAAAAAAATCATGTGGGGCATTCCAGCCCAATTCAGAAACCATTTGGCTTTAACATCATTTTCGAGATATCGAATTTGAAAAAAAACTTTCCTTTTTTAATGCCCACAACTTTGCGCAAATGGGCCGAATGAACCATTTTTTAATTGAAATTTTCCATTTGTAAAACATTTTTGGACAAATTCTCAAAACCGTTGTGTTTACACGTGATTTTTTTTTAATTTTAGTTAAGTATTAAACGATAAAGTGAAAAATAATACTTCGAATTGATTGATTCTACATCGGTTGAAGCCAATTTCAACGTATATATTTCTAGAGAAGAAAGTGCCCAAATTCGATCTCTTGAAATTTCGGCAATATTTTTCACGTTCAATTTTTAATTACAGGAGTTGAGGTTATGTTTCGTTTTCGTTACATAATAGGGGTATTCTCTGAGTCTTGCAAAGCCATTGCACGGTGCACAGATTGCACGGTAAAAACCGGTTTTCGTATCGGACAGCTTTGCAAACCGTGCAATCCGTGCAAGGGCTTTGTAAGACTTAGAGAATACCCCTAATGTTAAAAATTCATTGCAAATATTTACCACAATTGCATTATTGTTTCCACATACATAGTTAGATAACAATAATTCAACAGTGAAGCATGTCCCACCCATTTGTTGAGGCGGACGCAGGGGAGGAGGTAGGACGCGCCTTAAGTGACATTTCGACCAGTTTTGGGTTTTTTCTTTTGCTCGTTTAATGTTTATAGAGTTTTTTTTTCATAAAAGTCTAGCACATTACATAACCAGTACCACATAAATCCACATTTCAAACTTTGTAAAAAAGTATACAAATTGGAAAAACTTTAACAATTACACGCAAAATTTTTCATTTTTTATTCGGAACTTTTAGAAAAATTCTAGGTATGCAGTTTTTTAGCCCATTAAATTTAAGTAGATAAAAGCGAAAATTTCAAGACAATAGGAGATCGCGTTGATTTTTATTATTATTATTTTTTTGCTGACGGTTCTAGGAACTTTCTTCCATATAAAATGCACTATCCCAAGATAAAAAGTGAGTGAATAGAAGCTCTACTACTACTAGTCTTCTTATATTTTATAATAAATAATCTTCAATATGGACCACACTAAAAGCTCCTTTTCATACAAAAGTTCGTACGTGCCCCACCAGTAACAAACGTTGTCCCACCCGTGACAGAGGAGTTCCGTATTTTTTTTTTTATAGTAAAGCAATAATTTCTGTACAAGTTTTTACTTTGTTAGTGTGTGTGGTCCTTTTTTTTATTTCAAGACATCAAGTTCATAGAGAAAAGTGAAATAAATTCACAGAGTATACGGAAAATATATCTGCTCCAAAAAGTAGGCTCTTTTTTTTGTCACAGAGAGAAGAAATAACTCAGATTTTTTCCCATATAAAAGTAAGTTGGAAAATTTTTCGTAATTGGTAATAACTCATATAATAGCTAATTAGGTGTAGCTTTATTAAAATGTAGAATTGTTGAGAACTTTATGCCTAAATTTAAAAAAGAAAGTACATTTTTAGTGTATAAATCTCACACTCGTGACGGTAGGATACCTAAATGTGAATGTGTGTGACCGAGTATGTATATTTTAACGAAATTTTGCACACAAATAGGTTATAACTTGGATTAACATATATGATATTTTGTGAAGGCAGTTACCACCATTTTGAAAGCTAAAATTAATTAATTAATAAGTTAAAAAAAAAATATTACAACAGTGTAGATGAAAACCGAAAAGGGAGCCCAAAACGATATATTCTGAAAATATTTTTAAGAAGGTTGTCACCTCTTTGAAAAGTAAATGTCAATTAATTCATAACGGAAATAAAGTATCACAACATTGTGGGTGTTAAACGAAAGGGGTTCAAAGATTAATTTAGAAAATATTCTTTAACCCTGGCAGTACCTTAATATTTTTGTATACGTAAGCAACACACGCGTAGTCAGCTCGTCGATTCGACGAAGCAAGTACTTCTATGGATGTCAATCCAAAGAGCTATAAGAACGCTTTGTTTAGAAAATATTTTTAAAGAGGGTTGCCACCTGTTTAAAAGACTAATTAAATTTAATTGGTAAGTCAAATAAAAAGTTAAAATATTATGTCAAGTCAAACAAAAGATTTATGTTAAAAATGGAATACACACTTATAAAAAAATTGCCATCTGTAAAAAAAAATAAAAATTAAGTGCATCTTTTAGACATTTACAAGAAAATATTCTATAGATCTAAATAAAACATACACAGTAAACATATTGTATAAATTAAAAAAAAAAAAAACTTTTGTCTTTGCAGCGCGGTAGTCGTTATCACGCTCATCGTCACAACCAACGTTCGCAGTCCTTAAATCGCGGTCAAGCGCTTTCTCAAGCAGATGTAAGCGGAATGTGGTGACATCGGGGTGCCTCTGGTAAAGGTAATTATATGAAAGAAAATAAAAATGCTGTAAGTAATAACACAGAAATATTCATTCTTTAAATGAGCGGACATGAAAGAAAATTTTACAAAATACCTAATCGGAGCTAAATTGTTTTAGACCATATTTTAAGGAGGCCTTTTATTAGTGGCCCATTTTTTAGTCTATACTCGTTCAGTACCGGTTTAGTACAAAAATATTAAAAATAACGAATGTTCGGTTATTAAAATTTATTTCATCCATTGGCCATGTACTATTAACTTAAACTGGGTTGTATTTTAAAATACATATTTAAAACCAAATTTCCCCATACGGTTAATTTCTGGAGAATCGTATGGCAGAATAAATAAGCTACGCCTCAATGAGAACAATCCTTTTCTCTTTTAAGAAAAAAAAAACAAAAAAAAACATGGACTTACTTAGCTCCAGACTAATTCTGCTTTTCTAGCGGCCAACACAAAAAGTGCACTTTTATGCATCGGATAAATATTTCTGTTATAACTGCGAGCATGCAAATATTTACTGAAATTTCTTATTTCAGCTGCAGGAGGTCAGGGTGGTTGTGCGAGCTGCGCCATGGGTAACAAGTTGAGCTGCTCCTGTGCGCCATTGATGCGCAAGGCGTATCGCTACGAGGACTCTCCATGGCAGACATCACGTCGGCGTGACGGGCATTTATTAAGGTAAGCTATGCAAAACAAATTGGCAAATGTGTAAACAAATGTGGAAAGAATAGAAACGGTTTCTAAGCTTTATATTTCGTTTATACTTTTAACACTTTTGAAAAATAAATTAAAAAACAAAAATAATTGTGAAACCGAAATTAATTTCCGTTTAATTTTTCTTTTGTCTCTTTTTCTTTACGCCGATTTATTTTTCCTGTGGTCTCCTCTTCTCTTTACCAACGTCCAACGTTCCATAACCAACCAACTAATCAACACCACCAATCGACCAAACAACAAACAAACCTATACAACAATATGAATATTAAAAAAATAACTATGTTTCAACTGTAATAAACTTATTCCTCGAATTCAATATTCACACGAAAAAAAAAACAACAAATCAAAAATTTAAATCCACTAAAAACTGTCACCAAAATTTTCGTCATGACAAAACTTGCTAATTAATAAAAATGAATTCAATTAATGAATTATTCAACCACCAAAAAAACCAATGCCAATCAATCGATTACAAAACCAACAAATGTACAATAACAACAAAATCATCCTGTTTTTCCTTTCGAACTTTTCGTACTTCGTTTTCACATTTTATGTACAAATATTTGTGAATATTGCAAATTGCAATCATTAACCGTTATTATATTCTATTTACACACAAAAAAAAAAATCTTGCTAAATAACTCCATAATCACATACGCACACATATTTACAATGAATGTGGCTAATCTGCGCCAGTTCATTCAGGTTGTGGGCTGAGGTATTTCATGTTTCGGCAAGTGGCGCCGGTACCGTTAAGTGGCAGCAAGTATCTGAAGATTTGGTTCCTGTTAACATAACCTGCATCCAGGATTCTCCAGAATGCGTATTTCATATAACGGCCTACAATAGTCAGGTCGATAAAATATTGGACGTTCGACTCGTTCAGCCAGGTGAGTGAGAGAGTTTTTTATTTATTTATTTTTTGCTAGACATTTCGACCGCTTTTTGTTCCATTTTGACCACATAAATGTGGACTAACAAATTGTGAGACTACCTCACCGGCCGTTTGCTTGTTCAAGAGATAAATCCCTTAGAATGAGCTTGCAGGTAGCAAGCGAGGAACTGATGTGCCCTATCTTGCAATTTCGTTCACCTTATCGTTGCCTGGTAAGTTTTGGTGCCCCGGCACCCATACCAGGTGACGAACGTACTGCTCAGTCATCTCGATCATAGATTCGCGGCAGCCCGCTACTGTTCGTGAACTGTATGTGACCGAGTCAAGCGCTTTAATTGCTTCACTGTCAGAGACGACAGGGATATTGTTGCGTATTGCTTCTCCTGCACCTAAATGTTCTATCGTCTCCTGTATCGGAGCGACCTCAGTCTGAAAGACGCTGCAATAGTCGGGTAGGCGAAAAGATTTTTCCAGCCACAGTCGAGCTGAGTAGCCACCCCCCTTCCTAGCCCTCTAGTTTAGAACCATCGGTTTAGACCTGGAGTCATTCCTTATCATCAGTAGCCCCTCGTGACAAAAAATCTATATGGAAAATAAACCCTATACCTCTTTGTGAAGTTTAGACTTAGTACAGCGTAATCCGTGCCGGTATATCTATGTTCTCTAAGATTGCAGTGTGGCCATCATGGGTGTCTATCCAGCCGGATAGTTTCCGCAGCCTCAGGGCGGCGCACCCTGCTAACTGTTTTCCAACGATGCCAATTGGCAGAATAGTGACTAAGACGCACATTGCCTCCGATGGGGGTGTGCGTAGAGCCCCGCAGATGCAAAGCATCGCAGTTCTCTGCACTTTTGGAACTGCTTCAATTGTAGATTTCTTGCCGGGACTTGGACACCATACCAATACCCCGTAGAGTAGAGTAGGCCTAATAACCACCGTGTTGAGCCAATGCATTATGTTTGGGGCAGCCCCCAGCTACGTCCAGTTACCCCCTTACAGCTATAGAGAGTTACTGCAGTTTTTTAACGCGTTCTTGTATATTTTGTGCCCAGTTAAGATATTTTTCCAGCACTACGCCTAGATATTTTGCAGACTCCCCTAATTTCAGCGTCGTGGTGCCTAGAGAACCAGGTCGGATTTGTCCGGGGCAGCACCCAGGCCTTTCTGCATGGTCCATCTTTCAATCAGTCTTAATTGCCAATTTTTCAGCAATGTATGATTCTGGCAAAAAAGCGACCCATTCCTCGAACCCGGCCTCAAGCTTGGGATTCCTGAGTAGAAGTATTCAATTCTAGCCACTCGAAAATTTTACTTATTTATTTATTAGTTTATTTAATAATTATCTAGAAAGAGTTACATTTCATATAGATTACAACGAATTATAAATAAGAAGTACAAACTAAGTAATTAATTCATTTAGTATTGATTTATAACGGGTTTCCGAGTAAGTAAAGTTTAGAATCGAAGAATTTGAGAGCAAGTTGAATTCCTTTAGAGCCCTGAATATAGGAGCATTAGAAGCATAACGAGTTCTTACCGTCTCCAAGGAGAAAGTTACGTGATTTCTTAAACATCTCTGAGGCACGGCGAAATGGATACGTCCAAGCAAATATGGGCAATCTATGGCACCACCTACTAAGTTATAGACAAAAGTAAGGGATAGAATAGATTACTTACAATCTAAATACTTAAGAGTAGAATATACTGTATACTGTATATACATATACTGTATTCAGAAAAAACTGCCAGATTGGAAACAGTATACCTACCAGCCATGAAACCGTGCTGATTTACAGAGATAAAGCGGTTAATTGAGAAGTACAATTTTTGTTTTAAAATGATAAAGCGGTTAATTGAGAAGTACAATTTTTGTTTTAAAATGTATTCGAATAATAACCTTCCAGGCATCAATAAACTGACCAACCTCGAGAGATTTGTTGAAAATTAATAAAAGATGAGACGCGAATGCGTAGCAGCACTTAAGAAGGTATGAAGATAGCCCATCAACAGCCGTTTGAGTTGACTGACGATTTGATTTGTCTAATGCTGTCTTCAACATCTTCAATGGTTAAAGAGGGAGTTCCAAAATTAACTGGGGAATAGTTGTTCAGGAGATTGTTTCCACCTAGAACAGCTTCCTGTTCGAAACTAGACTTAAAGAAATCTGCAAAAAGATTTGCAGCCTCAAGAGAAGTGTGAGCTTGGATATCATTATAAAATACTACTGAGGGAATACTTAAACACGATTTCTTCGACTTTACATACCTTCAGAAAGCTTTGGGCTTGGATTTTATCTCAGTCTTAAATTTCAGAACATAGTTACGCTTTAGCTCCTTGCTTAATTATTTGAACTCCTTCGAGTATTGTATGTCTTCTTCGCATCATTTTCGCAGAATTAATATTGTGTATGGTGTAACCTTGCAAATGATCGAGTAGTGTTCTTTTGTAGGTCTGGAGAAGTAATGTAGAAACTTTTAGTTTTAAGATTTTCCAACATCTGGAGTTTTCAACTTCTGTGTAAAAAAGTTTTTTTATTTGATTAAATTTTTTTAAACTCTTTTTCTAATTTTATTTTAGCTCAGCTAGTGTCCATGGAAATAACACTGGTATCGGTATCCATTTATCAGACAAAAATAGGTTTATTGATGAAATTCACCTAACCCTTAATATATATGTATGTACATATATAGGGTCATAATTCTGTCAGCCTGCTATTGATTATCTTAAATACTACCTAGTTTTACTGCTATTAGAAAAAAACGTTTATATTTTATATTTTTTTTTATGTTGATCGACAACTGGGCTTGATCCTAGGGCCTGCGGAATGGTAGATGTTACTTTGAGGACTTCTTACACAAGTCCGCAAAGCATTTTTATCGTAATTCTCGTATCGTATTTTCAAAATAACCCGTCAGTCGTTTCTTCTTCTCCGGGGAAACCAAGTCCCTCCCCATCTAATTTTTCCAACTCAGGCAAGGTATTCTTCATCCTCATTCGTACGACGTGGCCTGGTCAGCATAGCCGCCCTATTTAAGAATTTGTTTGAAGAACGCCAAGAATTGGGTCCAAACCATCTCAACTGGAAATATGTTGAGTTCGGGCGTTTTCGAACTGAATTCTGAAATAGGGTGTTCTTCAATCAAATTCTGAAATAGGCCGTTCTTGAAAAGTTTTCTGAGATAGGACGTTTTCGAACTGGCTGCCGAGATAGGGCCAACTTCCACTCAGACGTCGATATGTAGTTGATTATCCACTTTAATTACGAATGTTAATTTTCGATTTTTTTAAATTCGTAGGTATAAATAAACAATATATGCACCAGTACTTGTTAAGATGAAATATTTCTTTTTCAAATAATAACAAAAACATATCTGTATCTAAATTTGTTTTAGGAACTCGCATTGGCCAAGCATCAGAATGCTTTGTGTACTGGAAGGATCCGATGACCAATGATACGTGGGGTCTTAATTTCACTTCACCAATCGATGCAAAACAATTCCGAGAATGTTGTGTAAGTATTCTCATGCGGATTAGCAAGGCCGACAACTACAAACAAAGCGAACTGTGTGTCAAATGCATTCAGGATTATCTGAGCCACTCGCATAAGCATATGGTTTTACGAACGTGCGTGTGTGTGTGTGTACATAGAGCCTGCACTTATTCAATTATTGGTACATATATGTATGTATTTGCATGTTTATGCAGAATGGTGGCAGCAGAATTCCGAAATGCAGTCGATGTTTGCTTTGCTTTTACGTATGTCCGACAAGGTTCAGTGCAGAATTAACAAAATGGAAGTAAAAACAAAAAACATTGAGCTAAAAATTAGTGTTAAAAATTAAATCAATGAAAACAAAGAATTTGCAAAACCTTTAGTTGATTGTAAAAAAAGAGAGCAAGTGAATTGGAAGTTTATAAATTGTTCAGTATAAATCTATTGGGAAATTGAGGAGCTTAATTGAAAGTGTCCCTTTCATAAGTGGCAAGCTTCAACAATTTTTCAATACTACCAATCAAAAATAAACTAATTTAATTAATAACAATAAGCGGTAGTTACTTGCAATCTTGAGTTGTTCATTGAATCATTGTCATTTCTTTGAAGAATATGAAATATTTTAGATACATGCGTATTGATATGTTTATTTGCTTTATAATTAACTGAAATCATGATTGGTATAGTAGTTGTTGCCTTATCCCTTCAAGCTTTCATTCTCACAAATCGTAAAGTTTATTGTTTCAAGAATTTCGAATTATTCATGCCAACTCATTCACACGGTTCAACGTAATACTGTGGAACTCAACTTTGAGACGCTGAAAATGGCAAATAGACCATCTTTTTAAAAATGTGTAAAAAATCTCAAATCCCATTCATTCGCACATGGCTGATCTAATAACCAGTGATGGAAAAGTACTAGGAATGTCTATCCCGGGGTCCCGGGATCCCTCGCTATTTTAAGGTCCCGAACATTTTCGGGATTTGTAATTTGCACTGATGACAATAATAGAAACTCCGTTTCTTGACCAGTATTGGCTATATTAATTTTTTTTTATTCAATAATTAAAATTTTATATTATTAATTAGCTAATACATATAAAACCGTGCGATAGTAAATTGTACGATCAAAAATCAATATATTCGCGAAACCATGAGCCAAATATAGTAAAATTGCGTTTTTAGTTTTTCACTCTGACGTCAGTAGTGCAAAAATGATTTAAAAAATGCAGTGAAATGTGTTTAGAGAAGAAGTATGGGTATAAAATTAATGGGGAAATCCTGTAGCATTTAAACATATTCAAGTTTAAAGTGCAGAAGGGCTGGTAAATATTGAAAATGTTCTTTTAAAACTGTGTCCTTGAAATTTCGCAATATTGGTTTTTAAAATAATTATATGTTAAGGACTTATATAAACTCGATAATACCCTCGAATTGCATCCTTCTAACTTTATCAGCTTAAAAAGTTATCTATTCGTCCTTGTAAATCCAAAAAATTTTAATTTTTTTAAATTCTAAAGAAATTTCCTCTTTCATTTGGTACCCATATTTTTATTATACATTGCATTGAATTTTTTAAATAAGTTTTGAAATTAATCATATTTTTGAAATTACAAAGTCCTTTAAAATAAATCCTGACTTAATGTTACTTGCGAAAACGGCAATTAGACTACCAAAGACAAAAAAACATTATTTTCCGCTAAGAATGGTCTTATTGGATTTCAAGATGATCTTCGGCATGATTTATGTATATACTTTGGCCGTCGCCCAAACGAATACGTGTATAATTTTTTCTGTAGTGAAATCACTACCTGAAAAAAATATTAAACTAAATATTATTTCGCCGGACTTTACACTTCCTTATCCCCTTGTTGCAATTTTCTATAATCAGTCCCAGAAATGATGCTATTTGACCTACTAAGATTAGGCTAAGTGTAACGTATCCCAAAAAACAGGGTTCCTCGTCTTTCCAGCACGTTTTGTGGCGCTGTGAAAAGATCCTCGTGGATCTTATTTTCATCACAAGATGAAGATCTGGCGCGCTTTTCTGCAATTTTTCTAAATTGTGTTTTTTTTTTTTATTCAAATCTGAGTCTTTGAGCACAGGTTTTTGAAACTGCCAAACAATTTTGTTTGCGCCGATATCTCAAACATGAATGAACTGATTTATTTACTAAAAATAGTTTTTAGAACTTCATCTCCAGAGATGGCCTATTTGCCAGTTATCATTAACTGACTGATATGTTAATGTGTAAAACCCTATCGCCACTACTTTTAGTGCGAAAAAATCTATTTCAGCTGCTTCCACAGTATTTCAAAAACGTCATTTTAATATTTATAATAAAATCTTTAATTTTTGGCAGATTAATTATAGGCATTCGTATTAAAAGCCATTCATAACATGTATCTTATTTAGTCATGTAGAGCTTCGTCTTAATCGATTAATCACAATACCGTTTTTTTTTGACATTTTCAGGTGTCTTACATTGTAAAGAAATACGTTAGTATAACTCCATGTATCTTGTCTTTACCTAATTACCTATGGTTTTAAATTTATGTTTCCGAGTAATTGTGGATTTTTCAATCATTCCTAATTGTTTTCACCCGGCTAAGTGTTCCTTCACTAACAAATAACCCAAAAAAAAATAAAGGAACTGTGTCATTGCGGTTTAGTATCAATGAATCTGACTCATTCTTTGTGCTTAATTTTCTTGTACCACATTTTCATGTATCCTTTGTTGATTACCTAGATCTAGCATGTTTATTCTTACGTCTATTGATTTCACACACGTTTAGTTAATCACAAATAGCACTTTTCATCTTAACTTCTCAGCAGGTGGCCAAGTAGGGATTACATGCATCGCTTGGCGTGCAATAAATAGCTCGCATACGCCAAATTCAACACCGAGATAGTCCGAAAATTTCACAAAGGGGCAAAAAGAAAAATTTATTTTCTTTAAAACTTGTGAACTGAACTTAGTGAATATAAGCTTATAATATAATTGAAATATGAAATAAAGCGTGGTATTTCATTTGGCGGATACGAGCTATTGCGCGCCAAGAGACGATATATATAAATACATACATATGAGCAAATCTCAGAGTTATTTGTTTTAGTTTCACTTCCGTCTTTTGCCCGAAAAAGACCGCTAAAGCATTCTCCTTGCATAAATTTCAATCAATGGCGGTCCAGAATAGAAACAAGTACGTTAAAAATAAATCAATTATTTTAAAAATGTTAGCCTTAAAACGTTTATTTAGGCAAAATAACACCGAAATCACCCATTTTTTTCATTCCAACTCGAAAAAATCATAATTGTTTTTCTTTTTTTTTTTTAATAGCTTTGGGAAGTTTTCAAATAGAATGTTCATATTAGAAGCAATGGAATTTGGCATCAAATACAACATATTTGTGAACTGTGAAGAGTGTGCCACCAAATTAAAAGAAATGGCAGCGCTTCTAATATCTGCCGTAGTATTTTGTAATTTTTGAAATTAACCGATTTTTTTTAAATTTTAACAACTTAAGAGACTTCAAAACTGAAGATAATGCATTTTATAAGATAAATGTGCCACCATTTTCGTAAAAAAAAAAAAAACGTTTTTTGTCGAAAAATATAATAGCTCGTGAGATTAGCTTATATACGTAACACTGGAGTTGTAAATTTTAACTAGCAGATTTATCAGATGTTGTGTCTCCAATTCAATGTCACTTCATTGATTTGGTTAGGAGTAGGTAGGAGTTTTCAAGATAACAAATGGTTAAAGTAACAAGAAGTAAATTAAAAAAAAATTTTTTTGAGAAAATTCTTAAATGCCGAAAGTAAACTTAAGATCGTTCGTTCTTTTAATAAATATTCTTTCTTTTATGTGTGTACTATGCACTCAATCTTAAAATAATTAACAGGACATATCTACATATGTATTTTGTAGAGGTGACTTTGCATATTGATGTTTTGTACAAAGGTCTTCAACTTTCTCTTGGCAGCCGCTCTCTTCTGATTCACCTTACACTTTTTTCAATCACCACCCTCGCTGAAAATCTGTCTTTCGTTCCCTTTCCTAGAATTTTCTTAATAAAAGTTACTTCCTAAAAAATGTAACCTACATATCGTCGGTGACACTGCAAAACGTTCTATGTCATTTATTACCTCTGGTGCTTAATTGATTTGTTATCTGTATCTGATCTCTTCTGGCAATCGTTCGTCTTCATCAGCCTTTGTCATTCGTTTATTTGGGTGTAACGATGTTCAGATGCATTTCGGTGCCAGTAAGTGACCATCTGCGTGTCAAGAGTACTAATAGACATAGACCGTTTGGCAGTATCACCGACGACGATTTTTTCCTTAACTCGATTTGTATTATAGCTTAGTCCCTTTCACTCAATGTTTTGCAAAAACACTCATTTCATCATCTTCATAATTGCCAATTAGTAAAGTATTATTCCGTCATCTGTACGCGTTGTAAAATTAATTAGATATTATGAAAATCACTTTTTTATTATCTTTATGTTTAAGTCGATCGACAATATCATGTGTTTGTAAATGTATGTAAATAAAAGAATTTTGTTGAAAAAAAAACATAATATTTTTTTCAAAATCGAATAAACACTAAATTATTTATATTTATATTGTATTCTTTCATTCTTTTTCTCTTCTCCTTTCATCATTTTCGAAAAATTGTTAACCCTCATTTATGATCATCTTGGCATTTTCCGCTAAAAATCACTCAACATACTTTACCCAAATTCGTTTCACACATCTTCTCACTGACTCTTCCACTCACTCTATGTAATTTTCTATATATAAACTTATATCTATTTATGCTAATTAACCATTGAATTTTTAAAAAAAATTATATAAATTCGAATTCTTCTACTAAAATATATTTCTCACTTATTATAATTATAACTGAAACACAACTAAATAATCGATTGCATTTTACGGTAACGCGTCGGAATTTTTATCACTCAATTATTTCCAACTATTTGTACTTGAATTCTTTAACGAAATCGCATA